AGAGTATCATGCTTAGTGAAATGAGTCAAAAGCAAAGATCAGATATAGAATGGCTGCATTCATTTGTGGTATATAAAAATAATGTATAGTAGAAGACTGATATCCATAGCCAGAGAAAACAGGGACTCGGAGGACTAGTCAATGGTTGGAGCTAACTACAAGTGTGAGCATAGATAAGATAGAGAAGAGACTAATAAGACACTAATAGCAGGGAATGATCATGGCTAGGCAAGATCTGAGTATTAAAAGTAAGTAAAATGATATTTTTGATAATGTTTCAGTTGCAATGCCCAAAAGTAGAAATACAGAGACAGAGACAGAGACAGAGACAGAAGAAGAGCATTTGCCATAGAAGTAGGCAGGGGTTGGAGGGTGAAGGCAGGGAAACTGGTAACACTGGTGCTGGAAAATTTACACTGGTGGAGGGATGGGTGTTGGAATACTGTGCGACTGAATTTAATCATCAACAGTTTTGTAAGGTTCTATCTCATAGTGGTTCAATTAAAAAGTGAATAAAAGCACTTACCTTTTAAGGGACAATAAAAATATATATGCCTATTAATAAATAAATAAATAAATAAACTAACTAACTCATGGAACAGAGTATAGAATGGTAGTAAACAGGGAATGGGGAGCTATGTAAATTTGGAAAGGCCAGCAAAATTGTACACATTTGGGGTTTGAATAAGATCAGAGTATCTGTTATGTATGTGGCAGTAGCTGTTAATATTTTGCTGTACAATCTAAACTTGCTAAGAGAATAAGAACTTGATTTCTTGCCCATCCCCTCCAAAAAAAAAAGCAGGTAAATACGTAAGTCAATAGATTTGTTAATTAACTCAGTGGTGAGAATTCTTTCACAACTTATGTCACATTAGAGATTTTATGATTTTGCTGTGAAATTAAGCTTTATTATGGCAAAACATATACACAAAAATAGTTATGTAATATCGGATAATGAAAATGCTGTCAGGCAATAACAAAATATCTCAAGTGAATTTAAAGTAGCAAGGATACCATTATAACTAGGCCGATCAGTGAAGATCTTCACAAAGACCAGATTCTTGTGGACTTGTGATAAAAGAGATGGAGACAACCATGTGTCTGTGTGGGTAGAAAAACAGTCCATGTAGCAAGGCACTTTCTGGACACAGGTCTGTGCTTAACTCATACTTAGCTGATAGCAAGGACCAAGGAATGCTGAAGTGGCGCTTGTAAAAGGAAGGGTAACTGGAGATGGAGTTATTTACAGAACAGCAGTGAGTACCTAAATGGAGTGAAGGCTAAAGTTTACCGTGGCAAGAAGTGGCATGAAACAAACTAATGCACTGATATTAGTGGTATCATTGGTGGTGGAAGCATCAGCAGCATTTTTAGACAGAATATTGTGCAATATGAGGGAAATAAACACACAAAGTTGACTCTCTGGGTTTTCACAAATGATAGCACAGAATGGCCACTTAACTGTGACTGGAGAATATTACAGAAATGTAATGTCAGTGATGTATTTTTTTTTAAATTTAGAATCTTAGTCTTAGGTGTCTTAGATATAGTACTTCAAATCTTTAAGAATGAATAAGACCATTTACAGGAGTGAGGATAAGGCAGACAGCAAGGAGAAATCTGAAGACTACCCTGGGAGGCACCTTTAGAGGTCAAGGAAATGTAGTAGATTCAGCAAGGTAGACTGAGAAGGAACAACCAGTGAGCTGGCATTAAAATTAGAAAGGGATTATATTAAGGAAGACAATTAATCTTCATAATCTACAGGGACATGCCAGAGTGGCAGAATCTGTAAATCTTGAAATTTTGTTGAAGTAAGTCATTTCACAGCTATAAGGAAAAATGAGAGATGGTCACCAAGAGAGAAGCATGATGATTTTTGAGTGGTACTGCAGACACTAAGAATAGAGGGCTGATGAGGGAGATGTAAACAGAAAGAATAAACTCTAACTTCAAATAAGATGTGATTCTTACTCTTTCCATCACAAGCCCTTTTATGTGATAGAGGGAAAAGACATGTATAATATACAATAAAATTCTAAATAAAAAATATTTCTATCAACTATTGAAGGAGAATTCTATCATTCTTTAAGGCACTGCACTGCACTCTCCTCCCGTTGTTCATCGATTTGCTAGAGCGGGCCCAGTAACGTCTCCATTTTGAGACTTGTTGTTACTGTGTTTGGCATATTGAATATGACAGGGGGAGCTTGCCAGGTTTGCCCTGTGGGTGAGATACTTTCGGTAGCTTGCCAGGCTCTCCGAGAGGGGTGGAGGAATTGAACCCGGCTCCACCGGCTGGGCTGGCTGCACGCAAGGCAAGCACTCTACCGCTGTGCTGTCTCTAAGGCAACAGAAATATATTCTACTGTAAAGAAATATAATTATGCTGGCTTTCAGGAATATCACTTAAAAAGGCTAAAATCTATTTTCAGGGGCTGGAGTGATAGTACAGGGGTTAGGGTGTTTGCCTTGCACATGTTCAGCCCGGATTCAATCCTGGCATTCTATATGGTCCCCCAAGCACCACCATGTGTAATTTCTGAGTGCAAAGCCTGAGTAACCCCTGAGCATCGCTGGGTGCGACTTAAAAAGCAAAAAATAATTTCTTAAAGGCTAAAATCTATTTCCAAGTTCATGTGTGTATGAGTGCTATGTGTGAATATGTGTACAAATACACTCAGGATCAAGTTTTAATCAAAAAGCTAAAAAAAATTATAAAAGCTTCTTAAAATGTGTCAATCATGTATTTGTGGATTTATTTTTGTGATGGCAAAAAATTAATTTGTTAAAAAATGAGTTTGTGGGTAATAAATCAATTTGTTCACATATTTTGCAAAGGTTACAGTTTATTGCTGATTTATGTACTGTTGATTGAGTACATTAGAAGATGGTTAAAATAGGATGCTAATGTGCTTGACCAATAAAATTATAGCCTTGATCTATACACTTTTATTTTTAGAATCAGTTGTTTTCATGGATCTACCAGGGAAAAAAATGGCATTTGCAGCATTACCATTTTACAATAATTACGCTTTTCTTCCTGTTTACAATGCACCACATACTTTTATTCTGTGGAAATACATCTCTATTTATATTTGAGGAATGCTTATAATAACTGAAAATTACATGTTAATATTGTTTAGTTTTTTTTGATCTTGTCAATTCCTTTTTTTAAGATAAAATGTTTTGAAATAGTGTAGTAACACTGGCTTCGTGCACCCATGTAGTGAAAATTGGGCAAGGTGTCTAAAGACCTACTTATAAAATTATCTGCAAATATTATTATTCACATGCAGAAAGTTTCCAAATATTTCTTATTTTATGTTTGAATTACATTATTTTGTGTTTGAAGTAAAATCTAGTTTGAAATTCATATGTAAATTAGAAAGACACTTTTAAGCAAAATGTTTATTCACACTTTTATTTGTTGAAATGCCAGTGGCAGTTTGGGCTAAATTTTCAAAAAAATAAAGACTAACACAGCTTTCATGCTTCTTTTCTCTATTTTTTTAAATTAATTTTTTCAAAAACACCGTGATTTACAAAGTAATTCTTTTTTTTTTAATACTCTTGCATTTTTATTTTATTTATTTATTTTTTAATCTTTATTAGTGAAACACCATGAGGTACAATTGTAGGCTTACAAATTTTTGTGCTTGGGTTTCAGTTATACAATGTTCGAATACCAATTTCTACACCAGTGATTCTTTTTTTAAAAAACATGAAATACGAGGTTTTATTTTTAATCCTAGAAACCAATAAAGGCTACATAATTAGCATTAATATCTTTCAGATTATGCCTACTTGGTCAGTTTCTTAGAGAAATGTCCAAAATATCTTTTATTTCAGATGGGTTTTTGACCTACTTACATTCTTTTTTTTTTTTTATTCAGTTGTTTCAAGCAGTTAGTGTTCCAACACCACCAGTATCACCTACCCTCCACCAATATCTCCAGTTTTCCTCCCAGTCCCAACCTGCCCCCTTTTGGCACATAACAAACTTACTTTATGAGCAAATTGATGAACAAAGGGAAGACAGTGCTACAGTGCTACAGTGCTACTTATTCCAACAAAATTTTAGTGAATGATCAGAAAATAAATAGAATGTTCAGAAAATAAATCAGTAAGGACCATTAGTGATTCTATATGCTTTTGACATATGTAAATAAGAAAATTAAAACCATTTAATGTAAAAACTGCTTATTCTCATGTATATATAGATGTTTTCAACTCTGAAATCTAAAGTATATTACATTGAATTTTACTTTATACCTGGATCACATTATGGTAATAATTATGTCTCACCTGTCATTCATAATTTTGTCACCTGAAACATAGTCACTATATTAAATTGAATATTATATATGCATAAATTCTACTCATATATTTCTTTTGATTTGTTTTAAAATAGAATGCATTCAGATTTTTGATATTTTGTGGTTATCATAGAACTTTCAAAATATTAAAATTTTCACATGTTCGATGTCAATTTATTAAAATATTATTTGTGGACTTTGAGTACTACTACTTATTATATGCTTCCAATAAAAAGGAATATATTTATTAGTTATATATAAAAAATAAATGGAATAGATATTCTCCAGTGAAAAAACACTCCTGAACTCTGGCCAATAGAAGTTACCAAACAATGGGGAGGGATGGGGTGGTCTAGCAGTGACCTCAAGATGTAGAGGAAGGATCTAGAAACTCAACAGTAGTAGTGCATGTAGTCACTTTTTATGAAAAAGCCTAAACATTAAAACTGGTATAAATTCGCTTCTTAATAATTAACTCAATTATTTTTAAATAAATTTAAATTTATAATAAATAGATTAATAGATGGCATTGCAACTATCTAGAAATGAGTTCTAACATTCGAAAAAATGAACACTTATTTCAGGTCATAAATTAACTGAACTAAATTTTTTAAGTTATTTTTCTTTTCTCTGTCTTTATTTTCTTTTTCTCTTCTGATTGCTCTTTTCAATTTTCAGTTTCAGTCCTTCATGTGTCTTGGAAGGCCTGGATGATTACCGTTGTACAGAGTGTCCCAGAGGATATGAAGGCCAGTACTGTGAAAGGTATGAAGTCATAATACATATAAAGCTATGATACTTTGGAGATTATATAGTAAAGCATAGCAACAGAAAAGTACTCTGTCTTCATTTACTCTATTGGCTAATATATTCATTGAGACTATTTTTATAATTTTAGACTTCCTCAGAGAGAGCACTTTTGCTTAATCCTATATTTTGACTTTCTCAAAGATCAAAATCATTTTGCAGTAATAATTTACTTTAATACATGCTTTCATATATACGTGGGTTGGAGCGATAACACAGGGGATAGGGTCTTTGCCTTGCACGCAGCCGACCAGGCTGACCCAGGTTCGATTCCTCTGCCCCCCTCGGAGAGCCTGTCAAGCTACCGAGATTATTTCGCCCACATGGCAAGCCTGGCAAACTACCTGTGACATATTCTATATGCCAAACAGAGTAACAAGTGTCACAATGGAGATATTACTGGGCCTGCTCAAGAAAATTGATGAACAATGGGAGAACAATGACAATAACAATGACATATATATGTATGTGTATGTGTCTTGGTATGTGTTTTCATATATGTTGTATACACACATATATGTATATACATATGTTTCATACACACACACAATCCTCTGAGCATCACCAGTGTTGAGCCCTGAGCATATGTGCATATAAACATACATGAATGAATGCATAATTATAGAAAAAAAAAGCTGAGTAAATCCAATTCAGGCTGGAGACAGAGTATATCATGTTTGACTTCACAACCCAGGTTCAGTCCCTACTACCATATTTGATCACCTGATCACCACCAGGAGTGATCCCTTAGCACAGAGCTAGGATAGAGCTATAAGTTCTGTAATATTATTGCCTGGGTATTCAAGATTATCAACATCTTTTTAAATTTGTTTTTAATATTATCTCTAATGTAAAAATGAAAGTTAATAGTTAAGTCAATCCAAGGACTGGAGCAATAGTACAGTGGGTAGGGCATTTACCTTGCATGCAGCCAACCTGGATTCGATTCCCAGCATCCCATATGGTCCCCTGAGCACTGCCAGGGGTAATTCCTAAGTGCAAAGCCAGGAGTAACCCCTGAGCATCACCAGGTGTGACCCAAAAATTTTTTTAAAAATTTAAAAAAATACTTCAGTCAATCCAGCACAACATATGATAATTAGAACACAATTAGTGGCTGTATAAAAGTGTCATTAAGATCCATGAGCAAGCCTCAATTTCACAGGAATAGAGAAACTTTTTCTGACAAGGGCCATTGGTTTATTTATACCATCATCTTCTATCCTTAATATATGGTCATGTGGTCATGGGCAGCTAACAGGAAGCATATGTGTCTGTCCAGTCATGTATCAGGGTCAAGCCTATGATTTAGTATGCCTCATATCCTCATAGTTCAGATGTCCTCAGTCCTTAACTATAACATCAGAATAACTAATGCTTAATCTTCTTAGCATAATCAGTACAAGAATTGAGTTAGTAGTGTATTTTTTTATTTGCTCTTCTTTTTTTTTTATTTTAAATCACATTGAGATAGTTACAGGTTTACAAATTTTTGTGGTTGTTTCAGTCATACAATGTTCGAGTACCCATCTCTCCACCAGTGCCCATTCTCTACCACCAACATTCCCAGTATCCCTCCCACCAACCTCCACTCATGCCCCCCGCCCCCAATCCCCTGCCTCTGTGTCAGGCTCTTTCCCTCTTTATCCTTTTGGTGTTATGGTTTGCAATACAGGCAATAAGCGGCCATCATGTTTGGTCAAGTGTCTACTTTCAGCACACATCTCCCATCCCAAGAGATCCCTCCAACCATCATTTACTTAGTGGTCCCTTCTCTATCTCAGCTGCCTTTTCCCCCAGCATGTGAGACAGGCTTCCAAGCCATGGAGTGATTCTCCTTGCCCTTATCTCTACTACCCTTAGGTGTTAGTCTCCTAATATGTTACTTTATATTCAACAAATGAGTACAGTCATTTTATGTCTGTCCCTCTCTTTCTGACTCATTTTACTTAGCATGGTACTCTCCATGCAGGGGATATTTTTGAAGCCTATTTTCTCATAGTAGGAACAAAAAAGCTTAATAACTTACCCGCCATACTTGAGTGTGCCTTAGGGATAGAGACTTAGACTATGACTAAGTAGTATAAAATACAAAAATGCAGATAACTTTGCTCCACAGCAAAACAGATTTGTGGATATAATTTGTGCTCCAAAAATTTCCTTGGAAACAGATTAATATTGGAATATCATCCAGAATTAAACCATTACTTAAATCTTTCTTTTCCATGTCCACCTTCACTGACTCATGTGTTATAATCTGAAGTCCTGCCTTAAATTTTTATTTACTTGCAAATATAAACAAACAATAAGTGTATCATCGGCCACATAAGAATCTTCTTATAATATAACTAGCAATGGCTTTATTAAATGTCTTGAATAAGGAAATAATTTAATAATTGGTATGTTGAGGATCAGTGAGTTATACCCATTACTCAGCTACATCCAGTACTTGGGGTTTATCTGGCTCTACTCAGGGATCAGATCACCACTGATGGTGCTCAGAGGGCCGTGTGTGTGTGTGTGTGTGTGGGTGTATGTGTGTGTGTGTGTGTGTGTGTGTGTGTGTGTGTTGGGGGATGGAGGGGATAAACCTAGATCAGAGGCAAGACAAGGCGAGTTCCCTATTCACTGTACTATCTTTCCAGCCTCTGGACAAGTTTTATAAATTCCAACAGAGTTTCTGTGAGTTTGAAAATTATATTCCCAAATGAGTCTATATTTGTCAACAATTTTAAACACAATATTATTTTCACTATACAATATTTATTAACAATTTGCATGCCAACAGAAAACTTGGAGAAATTAAATGAGTTGAAGCACAGTTAATTCCAAAAAATGTATTTGTTGTAGAGATTTATACATCACTTAGAAGTGTATGTTTTTAAATTTTGTAAGTGGTCTTGGGTTATTTGTGATTGGACTATTATTCATTTTATGCCCTTGTAAATACCAGTAGGATGATGACTAAAAACATCTCTGTACACTAAGGAAATTACAGGCAGTAATTTATGAAACAATGTTTGATAATATAGCTACATTTATAAATTTAAATTACCATTATCTACAAAAGCATGTATACAAAAATATTGAAAATGTGCACTGAAATGATAATTATCATCTTAAGGCAATGTGACTAAAGAAAATGTATTTTAAAATATGCATTAAAGTATAATCAATGAGAGTTGACAGTTCATATTGCTTAAGATTAGCAGGGTTATACAATATCAGATATGAATGATTTGAATTGTTTTTCAATTTTCAAGTGTTTTCACAGCTTTCCATTTATCATTTCTAACATAAAAGATCAATTTACATTTCTTTGAAACATTTTTATTCAGCTAAATTGAAGCAAAGATCTTATTTAAACCTCTATGCTAACTTCCAAATAAATTTGTTTCACTTATGAGAGCTTCTTAAATTATTTATGTCACCTTATTATCTGCCCAGACTCATCAGCTAAGGTCTAAAATTGCTTAAATATCATCAATATCACTTTAATGAAGACGCACCCGCATATTCTTACTCTTGCAATAACTCTTTGAACTTGTCATCATTATGGACCTCTTATAATAGTTATTTTATTTACAACTGTTAAGAAACAATTTGAGGATGCTTCTTTAAATAATATTTTATTGTGCATTTGTTATATTTCATAGGAAAATTAATAATCATACAAATTATAAATTAACATAAGGTTAATGTTATAGATAATCTTTGTGTTTTGGTATTTCTTATCAGCAGAGGATAAATTAGCTTTTATTATTTTATTTGTTGTTACTGTGTTTGGCATATCGAATACTCTCGGTAGCTAGCCGGGCTCTCCTAGAGGGGCGGAGGAATCGAACTCGGGTCGGCCATGTTGGCCGCTTGTAAGGCGAACGCCCTACCCGCTGTGCTTTTGCTTTTTGGGTCACACCCGGCGATGTTCAGGGGTTACTGCTGGCTTTGCACTCAGGAATCACTCCTGGCGGTGCTCAGGGGACCATATGGGATGCTGGGAACCAAACCCGGGTCGGCCACGTGCAAGGCAATTGCCCTACCCGCTGTTCTATTGCTCCAGCCCCTAGCTTTCATTATTGACCATGAAAATTTCTACCACCTGAGGACACCAAAAATAGACCCAAGTCATCTAGCCAATAATTAAAATGTTTGTTTTAAATCACCTATTTCCTCTTTCTTCCATGCTTGTCTCCATAAAATTGAGTGTTGGTTATATTCATGCTGACCTTCTAATTTATTTTCTTATCCAGAATATACTAATGAAAGGCAGGAACTATTTTTAATAATTACAGTGGGACTGATGGATTGCATGTGGTCAACCCGGGTTTGATTCCTGGCAGTACAAATGGTCCCCTGAATTTTTCAGGAATGACTCTTGAGCATAGAGCCAGGAGTAATCCCTGGGCACCACCAGATGTGACTCAAAAACAAAAATAAATCAAAATAAGGCAACAGATAATTCGGTACTGTCTTGAGCAAACCAAATTATGTTATCATAAGTTTATTATCTTTTAATCAAATATACAAATATCCAAGCTACCAAATATCCAGTAAAATATCCCAAAGTGGCATAATATGTAGGTGAGTGGATGTGTAGATGGATGGCAAGAGTTGTGAAAGGACTGAATTTTTAAGGGATCCGGTTCCACTCACTTGATAATTTTTCAAAGTGTGTACTTATATGTATATGTAACATTTGCCTACTTTCACAGATACATGTTGAAAAATCTATCTTGAGGAAGATTTGGTAAAAGGGAACATCAATAGAATTAACTAGTAAATCTGACGTTTGTTGCCACTTGATTCTTTTGCTCATTAGTAAAGCTAATGAGTTGAATTATTTAGTCATCTTGATCTCTAAAATTCATGAGCCGGGGCTGGAGCGATAGCACAGAGGGTAGGGCTTTTGCCTTGCATGTGGCTGCCCCAGGTTCAATTCCCAGCATCCCATATGGACCCCTGAGCAATTCCAGGAGTAATTCCTGAGTGCAGAGCCAGGAGTAATTCCTGTGCATTGCCGGGTGTGACCCCAAAAGCAAATAAATAAATAAATAAATAAATAAAAACTAAAATGCATGAGCCTAGGAAAGCCCAGAAGTCAGTATAATTGTGCCAATCTCTAATTTTTAAAAGAGACTTTTGAAATAAGCTTATTAGTTAGAGAAGAGACAGAAAGGGTATGGTCGCCGAAATCTGGCTCGTTGCCTGATTCCATATGGTATGCCAGCTGAGAATGGTTCTTCTGGGCAACATTTACAATTGATTTGACAACAGGAAGCACTAAGGTTGAATCCAAATTATGTAAATTGAATAACTGAAAAATAATTCTATTCTACTCCTTAGAAGTTAAATGTGAGATTAGTATTATAAAATAATTTATATTCAGTTATTATTATGTTTTTTGTTTCATTGTCCTGCCCTCCATTTACATTTAATTTGCATTGTATGATTTTGATTTCGCCTCACTGTATTCAACTTAAAATATGTCCTGTTGAGCTCTTTTTTGAGGAATGTTTGCTGACTCCTGATTTATACACTTTCAGTATCAATTCTGTTTCATTCAAGTCAATTCACCCTCCAACCTACAGACATGATTTATAATCCATTTTCCTTGCTTTGTCACTCTCTGAACCCAGGTGTGCCCCTGGCTATACTGGTAGCCCACGCAGCCCCGGAGGCTCCTGTCAAGAATGTGAGTGTGACCCTCATGGCTCACTGCCTGTCCCCTGTGACCCGGTCACAGGGTTCTGCACATGCAGACCCGGAGCCACAGGGAAGAAGTGTGACGGCTGCGAACACTTGCATGCACGCGAGGGCACGGAGTGTATTTGTACGTATACTAACTTTATTAGTCCAGGCCTTGGGTCTAGAGCTCTTGTCTCATTTCCAAACTGCTTGGTTTGTTGTTTTATTTTGTTTTGTTTTGTTTGGGGGAGTGGGTGGAGGGTGTAGCCAGTGCTTACTTTCATTCTCTCCCACACTATCTATCCACCTTCTGCTGTCCGCCTGCTGTTTTTGTCTCCATCCTGCTGAGCCAAGAACAGCTGAGAAAATCCTCAGCATGCTTCAGTCAGTTCATTGAAGACCTACAGCAAAGCTCCTCCAGGCAGATTTCATTTTATTTTGTCCATCTCAGGGTTTGCAGTTTTGCCTAACGTTGGCATTGCCTTTGTGACAGATTAAAGAGCAGGGTTTATTAAATTTTTTAGAATCTGCCTGAATTTGTAGTCTGCTAGACAGATACTTTAAACCTTGAATTACAACTGACTTTTCTTTTCCTGGCTTTTACAGAGGGGGAAAAAAAATCCCAGGCATACTGCTTCTACAGTTTTATAACTTTCTTTTGAATTACAGAAACTGGAGGAAATGACAATAATCCCAAGTATTTTTGCTCACATTTACAATATAGAGAAACAAGTCTTTGATATTGTTTATTATTACTATTATTATTTCTGCTAGATTCTGTGATGGCATATTGAAAGACATTGAAGTTAAACATATTTTTTGGAACTTAATAAATGCTAATCTAAGTTTATTTATATATTTAGCAAGGAACTGATTTTCTTCCCTCTCACTATTTTTGTACATTAAGTAGCAGTGCTCAGGGCCATACCCTATACAGTGTTTGGTGGTCGTCGATGACAGTCCTCCGGGACCTGGAGCAGTATTGGGATTGAACCAGGGACTCCCAGGTTGCAGTGAATGTACTCTAGTCCTTTGAGTTGCTTTCCTAGCCCCAGTATTCTCCTTCTTAGAGAAATTTATATACTGATCTAATTCTTTCTAACGAAAAGAGATATTTAAATAGTAAAGTAACTTTAACTAAATATTTTCTTGTTTTAATAACTTTGCGCTTGTCAGCAATTCTAGTTTTAACATAGTATATATAACTAAATCTTAATAGCATTTTAATTAGAGTATTGTTTGTGGGACCAAAGAAATAGTACAAAGGTGAAAGCACTTGTCTTGAACGTAGTTGATCCCATTTGCTCCCTGACACCTCATATGGGCCCCTGAGCACTGTCAGGAGTGATTCCTGAGCACAGAGACACAGAGTAAGCCCTGAGCACCATGAGATGTGACTCTAAAATAAGATATATAAATAAATAAAGTATACTCTTTGTACTCTCATCATCTGAGTTACTTCAAAGTCTTCAATTAATTTTGAACATGTTGCAAATGATAAGAACTAGCTGGGAGAATAATCATTTTAATTCTTTTCTCAGTATTTTAACCAAATTTTGTGAAAATTCATTGCATTTCAAATGAAAATAAGTGTCAATATCAATCTAAGAAAAATATTAAGGGTAACATATGCTTCATATTAATGTTGTGCTTAGTTTTTATATATAATCATTCACTCTTCTCAAGTATAATTGCATATTTTAATGATGATCTAAGTGGACTGCCAATATAATCCAATGATTTTTAATATTTCATTCAAGTTTATGAGGTCTGGAGAGGATAGTATAGTGGGTAAGACAACTTTGTGTGTGGCTGACCCTGATTTGATACCAGCATCCCACATATTCCCCTGAACACTATAAAGAGTGATCCCTGACCAGAGAACCAGGTATAAACCTAATAACCTAAATATGTAAATTAAAATTTCTTTGAAGTTGAATTATAAACATAGACATACATTGTTGAGATAAAATTTAGTTGCTTTTAATATAAACACTAATCTGAAGGGGACTTGAATTTTAAATTATCAATTTTATTAATTATCCATAAGTAAATTTAAAATTTAAAAAAATTCACATTTGGGGGCCAGAGATAGTATAGTGGGTAGGGCATTTCCCTTGTATGCAGCTGACCTCCATGTGATTCTCAGCATCCCACATGGTTCCCCAAGCCTAGCAGGAGTGAGTCCTGACTGCATATCCGAAAGTAAGCCTTGGTACATCTGGTTGTGGCCCACCAACAAACAAACAAACAAAATCACATTTGTTAAAACACAAATAATAAACATTAAAATATGCAACAAAATGGAGGGATTATTTCCCAAGCAATTACATTAAAGGATATTGTCAGTCTGTTTATCAACTACAGTGAATCTCAAGTCTTAGTCTATTGATGACCAACATCATATACTTTAGATAAATTTATAACAAGAAAACAACTACTTGGGGATGATGTCTCCCAAACAGTTCTCAGGGGACCTGCTGTGCATTCCCAGAAATACTTAGCCCACCGGAACAGGCCATATAGGTTGATGTTTGGCCCAGAGATACAGTGGTGCTTGAGCCTGGCAATGCTGGGAGAAGGGGCTTGCAGGATCAGGGAGTGAACTCAGTGATTCACGCATGCCAGCATGTGCCCCAGTGCTGTGAGCTATCGTTCGGTCTCTATAAAATTCTTTTCCCTGTCACATCTGTGGATTTTATAGTCTCCGCTATTCCCTGAGATATTAATAAAAGTTCTAGTCCTCCAGGTATGAAGTTACACTAGGCTTATAATGTTCATTTGCATTATTCTTGTCCCAGAGGGAGATGTATTTCCAAATGTTACAGATGATATTAATTCTGTTGCTGTGTCCTGGAAACTTTTTCAATCTGTAGGATTAAGTTCACAGTGATTTTTCTTTTTACAAGAAGGATTTAAATTTAGTTTTTCAAAAAAAAATATCAAACATTGTTTTATCACATATTCTTAGGTTGATAATTATTTGATAAGTAAATATAATACTTTTATTTAGAAAATATTTTTAATAATATTTTGTCCTATAAATGCTGTGTAGATAATCCTTCTGCTGCTTTTAAACGTTGATGGTTTCCACTTTTAGAAATATTTTCTCTTTTTTCTTTATTCAATTAACTGTAAAAATTATTGCATAGAGTATCTCCAGACATTTCTTCTTTGATGATATTTTTAAAATTTCTCTTGCTGTAGACAAATATGCCATGTTTTGGTATGATGTATTTGCCCATCACTTAGTTCCTGCTTCTGAGTTTTGAGATCAGATCATAAAATAAATGAGGCTGTAATTCTGACCTATCTTCTGGTTTCTTTTAAGTATCTAACTATATCCTAAATTTATATTAGGGTATGAGACCAAAGAATAAATACAGGCATGGTTGATCTAGAGAGATTTTTTTAAATCACATATGACCATAGTAGACTTTCCTAAGAACTGGGGATAGTGATGTGTGGAGGTAACTTGATCAACAAGAAATACATGTGTGGACAAAATGTGTCTCTGGTACTGATTGTTCATACAGAGCTGACTATGGAAAATGATGTTTCTCAACTAAAAATGAATTAACACTTTGCCGGGTTAGTAGTAGCATATACAGTGATGTGTTGTTTTCTTTGGTTAATCCTCTTTGTCTAACCCATTTTCATTTTTTTTTCATTTCATCATCCTGTTATTCGTCGATTGCCTCGAGCAGGCCCCAGTAACGTCTCTTTCATCCTAGCCCTGAGATTATATTCAAGGCTATTTAGGAGAATGAGACCCATCATTGTTACTGGTATCTGGCATATTTGGTACGCCACGGGGAGTTTGCCAGACTCTGCCCTGTGGGCAGGCTACATTCGATAGCCTGCAAGTTTGTCCAAAGTAGTCGAGCATCTTTGTCTAACCCATATCATGAATATAAGTAGATTCAAATATATAAATTTTAACTATATATGTAGATGTGATTTCCCTCAAAATAACAAACACTATCATTGCATTTTATCAAGTGAGTTATACTGGTGGGAAGTAAAAACTATGTGTTTACTATAATGTTTGATTAGACTTTTGATATATTTAACAAAGATCTAAAACTCTGCTGTACCAATTAAACAACACAGAACAAATAAAGATATTCAGAAAGACCTTCCTGTGACTATTTTAATTCTTAAAAGAATCTTGTAGCTAATAAAAAAAGAAAAGAAATATAAAAAAATAATTTTACTTTTGGGAAAAGATAAATTGAGAATGAGAATGGAAAAGTGGAGTTCTACTTGATATTTTATTTCTTTCCTAAATGAATATCTCTAAACAATGATGCTAAAATACTAGCACACATTAATCTTGGACATCATATGCATAGATGTTTGGGAGCAGTTTGATACTGAACTTGTTCTCAAAAAAAAAAAATAAAGATATTAAAAATTTAAAAAAAAAGAATCTCGTAGCGGGGCTGGAGCGATAATAAAGTGGGTAGGGCCTTGCATGCGGTTGACCGGGTTTGATTCCCAGTATCCCATATGGTCCCCTGAACACCTCCAGGAGTAATTCCTGAGTGCAAAGCCAAGAGTAACCCCTGTACATCACCAGTGTTATCCAAAAAGCCAAAAAAGAAAAGAATCTTGTAGCTCCCATGAGAATTGTCAGTACACAAAGTTAGATTTTTATTAGATCGTAACTCTTTAATTCATCATATAATACAGACCTTTCATATATGGAGTTTCCAGTAATATCACAAGGAATGTACCTAATTTATCTGTGTTCTTAATAGGAAATGTTTTAGCAACAGACTTTCTACTAGTTAGTGAGCCACACAAAACCAGTTAGTTTGTCCATCCCACTATGTAGTCAATGCTCAAAGCCAAGCATTTCCAAGTATTACTTTAAGACCCTTTCACTACACATTTTCACAAAAATAATTTTTTAAGGCTCACCCGTGCTGAGATCTAATCATTGTCAGACATTGTATTAAGCACATGATGTAATTTTTCTTTGCTAGCCCTTTCAACATCATCTTTTTCTTCACCATGTGATAACAAACTGAGTTCAGGTAGTTTGAGTTAGGAAGATCATTAGTTACTTTTCAGTGAAACCTCCATCCATCTTTCAGAGTTAACTTTACTTTTCCCATTTTATTTTTTTAATTGATGTAA